TCATTATCTAATTCCAGAACACTTTCATCACTCCAAAAAGAAACCCTGCCCCACTGAGCAGTCCCTTTCCATTTGTCCCTTCCGCCACCCCTGCGCCCTGCTGGCAACCATTAATCTGCTTTCCTTGTCTATAAATTTGCTTCTTCTGGACATTTAATATAAATGGAATTATACCACATGTGTCCTTTTATGCATCTAGCTTTTTAGTATGATGCTTTCAAAGTTCATGCATGTAGCAAATATCAGTATGTCATACATTTTTATGCCAAATAACTTTCCATTATATGGATAATATCACATTTTGTTTCTCCTTCCATAAGTTGATGGACATATGTGTTGTCTCCACTTATTGACTATTATAATTAATGCTGCTGTGGTATATAAGTATCTGTTTGTGTCCTTCTTATCTTGCTGTTTTTATTGAATTTAAAAAATGTGTGTGTGTGTGTGTGTGTGTGTGTTTCTGCTTAATCCCTTCACTGCCTTTCATTTTTAAAGAAATAGAACAAAATATCATGAGAGTTGGCCCTGACTGGGTAGCTCAGTTGATTAGAGTGTCATCCTGATATGTTGAGGTTGTGGTTTTGATCCAGTCATCCTGATATGTTGAGGTTGTGGTTTTGATCCAGTCTGGGCACATACAGGAATCAACTAATGAATGCATAAATAAGTGAAACAAAAGCAAACAAACAGTGGGGTCTCTCTCTATCTCTTCCTTTCTCTCTCTTTATAATCAATAAAAATAAATTTTAAAAAATGATATCATCAAATTGGTATGGAATCACAAACCCAGAATAGCCAAAGCAATCCTGAGAAAAAAGAACGAATTTGAAGGTATCACACTCCTGACTTCAAATTATATGACAGAGCTACAATAATAAAAACAACATAGTATTGACAGAAAACAGACACAAAACAATGGAACAGAATTGAGATCCCAGAAATAAAACCACATGTATATGGGCAAATGATTTTTGACAAAGAAGTAAAAAATATACAATGGAGAAAAGAAAGCCTCTTCAATAAATGGTGCTGGGGAAATTGCAAAGCTACATGCAAAAGAATGAAACTAGGTTACTATTTGCCCCTTATACAAAATTTAATTCAAAATGGATCAAAGATCTATAATGATAAAAGCATAATATGCTAATTAGATTGGACAGCCAAAAGACCTTCTAAACATCATTCTGGACATCCTTCCGGGCGAAGCCATGGTGGCAGGGGCCAAGGCAGAGGCAGTTAGGGGTGATCAGGTAGGCAGGCGAGTAGTTAGGAGCAATCAGGCAGGCAGGCAAGCAGTTAGGGACAGTCAGACAGGCAGGCAGTTAGGAGGCAGCAATCCCAGATTGCGAAAGGGATGTCTGACTGTCAGTTTAGGCCTGATCCCACAAGGATTCCTTCGAGATTGGGCCTTCCCTGCAGGATCGGGCCTAAACCAGCAGTCAGACATCCCCCGAGGGGTCCCAGATTACAAGAGGGTGTAGGCCAGGCTGAAGGACACCCCCCATCCCTTGCACGAATTTCATGCACTGGGCCTCTAGTCTAAATATAAGAGCTGAAACAGGAAGTTACATAGGAGAAAACATAGGTACTAAGTTTATGGTCCTTGGTCTTAGAGATAGTTTTATCTTCTCACAGGCAAGGAAAATAAAGGCAAAAATAAATGAATGGGACTATATCTAACCAAAATGCTTCTGCACAGCAAAAGAAACTGCCAACAAAACAAAAAGGCAACCAATTGAATTGGAGATATTTGCAACAACAGCTTTGAGCAAGGGATTAATATACAAAATATATAAAGTTTATATACAAAATATATAAACTCAACACTAAACAAACAATCCAATAAGAAAAATGGGCAGAGAGCCTGAACAAATACCTATTTTAGGAAGATATACAAATAGCCAACAGATACATGAAAAGATGCTTAACTATACTAATGATTAGGGAAATGCAAATCAAAACTACAATGAGATATCACCTCACACCTGTTAGAATAGCTATTATCAACAATACCAGTAATAACAAGTGTTGGGGAGGTTGTGGAGAAAAAGGAGCCCTTATTTATTCATGCTGATGGGAATGTAAACTTGTGCAGCCACTGTAGAAAACAGTATGGAGGCTCCTCAAAAAATTAAGAATGAAGCTTCTGCCCTGGCTGGGTGGCTCAGTTTGTTGAGCATGGTCCCAGGCACTGAAAAGTTGCCAGTTCAATTCCTGGTCAGGGCACATGCCCAGGATTGTGGCTTAATCCTCTGAGGAGGTAATGTGCAGGAGGCAGCTGATTAATGTTCCCCTCTCACATCTCACATTCATATTTCTCGATCTCTCCTTCTCCCATCCTCTCTCTCTAAAAATCAATTTAAAATATTTTTAAAAAGAATGAAGATTCTTATTCACATTAGAACTGAAACATAAGCTTGCCAACTTTTCTATAATCTCCATTCTTTCACAGAGCACTTTAGGCCCCTCCATCTAATATACATTTTTTGGTTTTCCACTATAGCACTGTTACTAACAACTACCAAAGTCTTTTCTCTGTGAGCTCCCACTGATTTCTGAATTACTGGAGAACAAAAATCTTGTCTTTTCATGAAAGTGTGCTAAATATCTATCAGTATATATTAAGCAGCCAAAATAAAAGGCATGTAAAGAAAGTAATATATCTACTTTTTAAAAATTCTATTACCATCTTTTTTGTATGAGTCATTATCAATTAAAATAGGTACTAATCAATGAAAAAATCATTACATGCCGGCAAATTTGTAGAGACAGAGAGTAGTAGATTAGAAATTACCAGAGGCTACAGAAAGGGGAAAATACAAAATTATTGCTCAGTGGGTACAGTTTCTCTTTGGGGTGATAGAATAGTTTTGGAAATATAGTGGTGATGTTTGCCCACATTGTGAATGCAGTTAATGACTCTGAACTGTACACTTAAAATGGTTAAGATGACAATTTTTAGTCTCTCTCTCTCTCTCTCTCTCTCTCTCTCTCTATATATATATATATATATATATATATATTTTACCACAATTAAATTAAAAATGAATTATTTACAAATAGGAAACACACTGAATTATTCAAGATAACTAAATACAAATTTTCTAAAAAGGAAAACTGCTATGCTAAATAAAGAATTCATAAAAAGGAGCTCAGTAATCAGTCTTAGAAACAAATACAATTGTAGCCATACTTTTTTCATTTATTCTCATTTATGTAACCTATTGCTGCAACAGAAATCATCATTAATGAAATGAATTTAAAAAGTGAAGGAGTGGAAGGGTAACCAGGCTGTGCCGTGAGAAGAGCCTCCAATCTTTACTGAGACAGGAGGGAGTCCGGGGAAACTGAGGCCAAGGCAGCAGCTGCAAGGTGACGGAGGTGGTGGTGGTGGTGGGAGAGGTAAATGAGATGAGGATGTCCTTGGGGAGGAGACTTCTCAGCAGATGAGAATTCCAGGCCTGGAAGGGAGCTGGCAGCAGTCTGCGGGGAGATACGGGGAATGAGAGGGTGAGACAGAGAAGTGACACACCTGGAGGAAGGAACAGAGGTGGGTGGAGGAAGACTGAGAGAGGGACTGAGGCCCAGAGGGGGACAGACACCTGGAGAGTGGCCAGAGATGGAGAGAGAAGTGAAAGGAATCAAAGCCATGGCATAGTAGACTAAGGAGACAAATAATAATAATAATAATAATAATAATAATGTGAATGAGTGAATAATTGAATGACTAAATGAGGCACCATCTAGATCAGTGGTTCTCAACCTTCCTAATGCCGCAACCCTTTAATACAGTTCCTCATGTTGTGGTGACCCCCAATTTCATTGTTTTAAATTGAACATAATTAAAGCATAGTGATTAATCACAAAAACAATATGTAATTATATATGTGTATTCCGATGGTCTTAGGCGACCCAAAGGGGTCGCGACCCACAGGTTGAGAACCGCTGAGCTAGATGATTAGAAGTCTAAGGCCGAACACCTGGGCATAGCTGGGCTCAGTTTATCACTCTGCTGATCACAGGCAGACATTAGCTGGTAAAACAATGGGTAGCCCACATGTACATGGTACATAGTCATTCATTTTTGGTAGGAAGTGGCAGAGCTTAACAGTCAGAGGGCTTGGGGGTCAGATCGACTGGATTTGTGCCCTAGATCTACCTCATCTTTTGGGGCCAATGTAAGATTTTTAATCTTGCTGAAGTGCAGTTTTCTCATCTAACAAATAACAGGAAAAAATACAACATTATTGATTTTTTGTGAAGGTGATCAGCCAATCATATAAAAGTTCTCTACTTATAGCAGAGAGTACAATAAGTATACGTTAAACAAGTAGTCATTCTAATAATAAAAGGGTAATATGCAAATTGACTCTAATGGTGGAACTACCAGGATGACTGGTTGCTTTGATGCACACTGACCACCAGGGGGCAGATGCTTAATGCAGGAGCTGCCCCGTGATAGTCAGTGCACTCCCACAGGGGGAGCTCCACTCAGCCACAAGCAGAGCTGAAGGTTGCGAGCGTAATGGCAGTGGCAGGAGCCTCTCCTGCCTCCTTGGCAGTGCTAAGGATGTCCGACTGTGAGAGGGTGCAGGTTGGGCTGAGGGACCCCCCCAAGTGCATGAATTTTCGTGCACCGGGCCTCAAGTTTTACATAAAATACCATGATTTCTAAAAATGAATTTAGTACCAGATATTTTGTGTGTGAACATTTCTTTCTTTCTTGAAGCCTAACTTTATACTTCGCATACTTGGTAACAGATGCAATATTATTCCAACTAAAGTTTCAGGCTTTGGGGAAATACAAATCATCTTCAGAGCACCCCTTATTGTGAGCAATTGTAAATTATCTTTCCCCAAAAAATATGCACTTAAAATTGAGACGCATTTTTTCCCCTTAAAATGGGAGTCTGATACACATTGATTTCCATGTGGAATTTTTTCTAATCATCATTTCTTTTTCTGTTCCCCTTTCTTACATGCTGACTTCTGTGTAGCAGACCACTTGGGGATTGAATTCATGGGTAAGAATAAACATTTGCTTCTTAAAAATCTGGGAAAATGTGAAGTTTGAAATGTTTTTGTTCTCCTTTTCCATCTAATTATACTTGAAATGTTTCATTATCAGATGCTATTAGTAGAAAAAAATGTTTTTGTCTGTTTTTCACTAAGTAATGGCTCAAAATGAAAGGCTTAACTACTTATTGGGAAGTCAATTTAATGTTAAGTGCAGTTCTGGAATACTACAGAAGTTAGATTTGGCTCCTGGCTTTGATTGTTTGCTCTAATTCTTAATTTTCTTATCCGTAAAATAGGGATAATAATCGTTCCTCTTTTACTGCATGTATAAATTGCTTAGTGCAATGTTTACAAGATGGCAAACACTCAATAAAAGATAGAGAATAACTGTGATGGTTTAAAAATGTCACTTTTGTTATTTTCTGCTCTAATTCCTTTTCCTTTCACATGATGATTGCTTTGGAAACATTTTGGTACCAATCTTAATTGTGAGTATGGACTATAGAAACTTTTCATTTTACAAAATTAAAATAGTTCTTTTGAAGGTACTTGCATTGAATGGTGTGTTTTTAAAAGCATTAGAATGCCTTCCACGGGAATTATTCTCTATATCCACAGATAATTACATTAAGAATGGGTCACACTTTTCTGAGTCTAAATTAAAAATACAATGGAAAAAAAGGTTTTGCATGAGGTTGATATGCATCATGGTGCTAAAATGGAAAGATCCTTAAGAGCTGAAGTTAGTTAAATGGAGAAGACCTAAGTTTACTTCCAAACTCATAATTCTCTGCTTAATTGATGTTTGTTAAGCTTCCGATTTTCTCTTACATGGTAAGGATATGGATACTTACTTCATACATAATATGTTTATTGTGATACATACATTTACTTGTATTGATTTATTCGTTCACCTATTTATTCAGAAAATATTTATCTAGTGATCATTGTAAGTAAAGAAAAACTGCAAAATGCTAGAGATAAAATAATGAGTAAAAATGGACTCAAAAATCCTAGTTCAATGGGACTTATAGTCTAGTAAACTTACAGATGATAATCAGGTAATAATACTGATAACTATAAAATTGCAAGTTTCTTAATATCAATGGCACGCAAGATATAGTATAGAAATGATAGATATTTAAAACATGATATCAACAATTAGTTGAGACAAATTGAGGTTGCAGGTTAGAAAAAGAAAATACCTAGGATGACTGCAAGGTTTATAGTTTTCATACTTAGATAAAATGTGGACCCATCTACTGAAAAACAATACTGGGAAAGGAACAAATTTATGAGAAATATTTCCTAGATTAAGTTAGGAAATGTTGAGTTCTGGTTGCCTTTGTTATATATGGGAGATGTCAATTTAGTAGTTGTATTGCTGGAAGTTTTAGGGTTAATTAGTGATTAGTGATTGCATATTTAAATTGGAATTGAGTCTCTCTGTTGTGTGATATTATTTATTAATGCTCTATTACCTCAGTATTAGATTATAGAAAAAGCAGACAACACAGCTTAACTCCTGCAGGTTTGAATTTTTTAAATTGAGGTGATGAAAACTCCTAAGGACAATGAAATTGAGGATAATATTCAAATGAAGCTTTCTGGAATGTAAGGTGGTTGTGGAAAGAAGTGAAGAAAGGGTATTTTATCTCAATGAGTAGTCATCATGGGAGTAATCAAAGAAGTTGTTGACATGGAAAGGAAGTTGTAGCCATATGGGCTAGGAAGTACAGAAATTTATGGTCATGATCAAGCAGTAGAGTATACCAGTATGTTGAGAAGGACACGTGGTTGGTTGATACTTTTCTCATTTACTGATGATGGTAAGGATGAGCAGCAACAGAGGTTCCAGCATCAACAATCACTTTGAGGATGATGGGTACCGGCCATAATGGATAGGGAAATTTGCCCCAGTGGACTGTGGTGTGGCTTTGAGGATAGAGGCTTCAATTCAGTTTATGTTGCACAGGGACTGCAGATGCAGGAGATAGCTCATGCGTGGTGGGTTGGGATGGGTAGCTTCAGATCCCACAAGTGGGTGGCCAAGGTTATAGTAAACAGAAATTGCTACACCAATGTTAATTATCACTGCTGAAAGTGATAATTAACTTTTCCTTAGGACCTCTAGTCCCGAGGACACTGGCACCTTATAGCATAATAATTTGCTAAAGAACCAAGATATGTATTAAGAGGCCTATTAAAAATTTAAAATAGTGGACTAACCAGTTGGTAAAAAATACAAAAAAATATTGTGTAGATCATCCATATGCAACTCAAGACTAAGAACATAGTGAATCTTGCTGTAAAGCCTTATAGGCGATGGGTTCCCTGTGTGTGAATATTGACTCCAGCAGTAGAGATTGCCATGGAGGAAAGCGGATGGGCAGCAAGTCGGAGTTGAAGGGAGGACATATGCATGTAGATAGTGGCGACTAATGAAGGATTGTTTGTAATGTTGAACAGGATAGTAAATAAACTGTTTTTGCTGATCTCACTAGTTCTAGACACTATTTACCCTCACAGGTTGCTATAACTGAATATGTAAAATTATTCTTGTTGCTTTGAAAACAAATATTTTCATACTTAACTTGAGATTTTAGAATTCACATAAATAAAAGTTGTTCCATTGAGGGTGACATCATCCCAGTAACAAGGCATCTCTAGGTATCAATTCAGTTGGGAAGCAGAGATGTCGGTATAGCATAAATCACGGAGGTATATTGTGGTGCCGGGAAATAATCAGTGCCAGTTCTGCTTTAATGAGTTCTGAACACCTTTGCTCTCAACTTTATCATTCTTTCCATGGCGATGTTAGTTTCATCTTTCCTTAGGTTGGAACATGGGTCACAAAATGATAATCAGAAACACAGGTGCCTTCTTTCCAAGTCTTTGTTACCCGGAGCCATATCTATGCGCACCCTCGTTGATCAGACTCAAAACCTGAATGCTTTGTACAAATTCTTTTTTATAGCAGGGAACTCCAAGTCATATGCTTCAAGAATATTATTATTATTTAACCAGCATACATTTATTGTACTATGTGCCAGATATATAAGATATTGAAGATACAGATATAAAACCCACATCCCTTTAAGTCTAAGGGCTCTGATCCTAAAAAAAAAGGGAAAGCTACATGTATTTGAGGTGATATAAGAGGTGCTACAAATAAAAATGACATAGGCAAAATATAATAAAGATGCTAATTGGGCTTGGGAAGTTCAGAGACAACCTCCCGGAGGAAGAAACATTTAAGCTGAGTACCAGCCAAAGCAGATCAACTGTACCCAGTGATGCCACAGTCCAGAACTACACTTACTCATTCGCTTCCACTTGAGAGTGAGGTTTCTGCTTCAGTCCATCTGGTCTATGAGGTCTAGAGTCACTTCTTTATACTAGAGAGAGAATATCAGCTGCACTAAAAACACTTAACCAAAAAGTTTTCTGAATCGATTTATTAATTGAAAAGAATAACTATCCTATTGAATAAGCCATGCCAAACCTAATGGCCATAAAACTGTCAGCATTCAAAAGGATTTTTTTCCTTAATTATGTTCATGAATTTCTCTTAATGGTGCTTCTGGGATTGCTACAAATGGAAATTTCAACAACAAATATCACTCTGGAATACAATTGTAGTTAAAAAAAAAGTTAACTAATGTAATTTGAAGGTGCATGAAAACACAAAATTGTGAAATGTTTGTGAAAAAAATGAATTCATATTAAACCAATAATCAAAAAAGATTTTTGGAATTCATGACTTAGCCTACTCATTCAGGCATGCATGAGGGAAAATTGAGAATCTTAGAGTCAGATGTTTGAACTTTTCCTCAAAGTGTGAACAGGATCAGGAGATGAAATAGACAAGTACTCACTGAGGTGTGTGAGAAATCCAAGCGATAATCCAGATGGCCAAAGGGCCCATCAGATTGGCCAAGTTTGGAAGGCACATTGATCATGCAGAGGCATGTCTCATCTGAGAACTATCTGGTTACTGTGTTGGGTGCCCAGTCATGGAGCATATCTCATTACATCCATTTAAGCTATTTGTCATGCGCTATTTCTCTGAGAATGCCCTGACACATTGGATACTCTAGGCATCAAAGATGTTTGTATAAAAACAGGTGCAATGCCATTTGAAAACATATTAGCAAGCCACAGGGAGAGCTGTGGATCTTGTAGGAAACCTTTCATGCAAATGTAATTTATTCTTATATGGAAAAATAAAATGAACTGTCAGTTAAATGTATTGTTTGTGATTTGACATTGTTTTTAGGATAGCATAATATATGCAAAATCTGAGTAAACTCTAGTATACATTTTTAAACATCAAAATTTTATGAAACTTGGGAAAAATCAGATTGCTAACTAAAGTCTTAAATTTTCTCTGAAAGAATTTATATATTTTGAAGTTTAAGAAGAAACACTGAGCTTTATATAATGAGAGGCTTAGAAATGTTTACAGTTTAAATGTGTATAGATACAAAATTGACAAAGTTATTTCTTAAACTTTCCCATATATTGAGTATCATATATTCATCCCCCAGGTAAAAAACAAAAACAAAAACAAAAACAAAAAAACGTTTCTAACTCTGTTTGGATTATATGAAGTGAGGATATTTTCCTTAATGTGACCTTGCTTATTTTGAATGAATTGGAGCATGTTCATTTAAATCTAACAGGCTCACATGTTGGTCAAATGAATTCATAAGATACCTTAATTTTTGAATTTTATTAGAGATATACAAATAAAGATAATTTTTCTCTGGGCTGAAATCTCTAACTTAGACTTATATGAACAAAGATGTTTTCATTCATTTGAATATGTCATGTTTTGCTATAAAAATAAAATTGGCATTTATGCATAAATATATTTGTATGTGTGTTTGTAGAGGGATTATGATAAAAAATATTTGTTTAGTTTTTCTTATATTAAACTACATGAGAAATCAGATATGTTTGAAAACATATTAGCAAGCCACAGGGAGAGCTGTGGATCTTG